ATGAGCGGCCGTGGGGATGTGTACATGCAGGAGCATAGGGTATGACACTTTCTTTGGGTCAGAGGCAGCTTGCCATCCGAGGCTAAGTCATGGGTGGCTGCTGAGCTCTCCCGTTGTCTCTAGCACATTCTTCTGGGGCCAGAAGTGTTGTTGTGGCAACCAGTAGCCACCTTGTCAATGGAGCAGATGTGTCTGTAACCACATCAAGGGGATTTATCTGTCTCCACACCCTCAGGCCCCTGGTCTCTTGTCCTCCAGCTCTCAGATTCAGATGCCCCTCTCCCCAGCAGTGGCTGGGTGAGTCTGGAAATGGGCTCCAGCTCTTTATTTATTCTTATTCAACAAATGCTTATTAACCCTGTGTGCTGCACACTAAGGATCCAGTGGCAGCCGATATCCTGCACCCATGAATTGGAACAAACACAGTAATATCCAACCTTCACACTTCCATGCCCTTACAATGTATCAGGTACTTTATTACATTGATCAGTTAATTTAATCACTGTGATGATTCTATTGCTGCCCAATTTTACAAATGGTGAAACACAGCTACAGGAAGGCTGTTAGTTACCCTAAACTACACAGTCAGTAAATAGCAGAGCCAGGTTTGAACACTAGGCATCTGATTTCAGGGCTGATGTCCTTTTCTTTTCCTTTTTTTTTAATCCACCTGACGATATGTTTTTATTAATTTGAGAGAGAGAAACATCAATGTGAGAAACATTAATCGATTGCTTCCTATACACACCCTGACCAGGAATCAAACCTGCAACCTTTTGGTGTACGGGATGATGCTCCAACCAACTGAGCCACCTGGCCAAGGCCAGTGTTGATGCAGTTAACCACTATACTGTAAATTTCTAATAAGTGAGAAATATCATGCAGGTAGTGATAAATGCTAAAGTAGTAGATGAAAGGTGCTGGAAGCCCAGGTGATTAAGGTGCATATTGAAGTGCTGGCATTTGAGTCAATCCTTTTTAAGTAGGAAAATTCAGCTATGAAGAAAAGAAAGAAAAAAAAAACAGAGAAATTATCATGTGCAAAGGCCTGGAGGTAAAACCTACTATATTGGAAGAGCAGAAGGAAGGCACTGTAGAGTATAGTAAGGGAGGATCTCTGTGCTGTAACAGATGAATTTACTAATCTCAGTGGCTTCTCACAACAGATTTCTTACCCATAAGTGTTTCTGATTGTCAGGTGGACCTGAGGGGCCTAGGAACCAATTTTGTGTGGCTCTACTGTCCACACCTTACAGCCTCTGTGGAAGAAAAAGAGCATAGGAGGTGTCGATGGACTTGGAAGTGGAGCAAACATCCCTACTCCATATTGCAGAGTCATAACCACAAGGGAAACAAGGAATGTGGTCTAGCAGTAAGACCTACATAGAGAACCTAGGTATGGCTGGACTCAGATAAAGATGGCTGGTGGGTGTACTTTGGGTATATTTTGAAGTACACTCAAGAGGTTTTGCTAATGGACTGGGGTAGAGGAAGACAAGATACAAGATTGACTCCAGAACAAGTGACTGACAGATGGAGAAGCTGAGGTTTGGGGGCCCATTATACAGAGCGGCTGTGTCCCTGCCACATTATCAGTGCTAAAACTGTCCTGCTCAGGACAGCAAATCTGAATGTCTTCACAGTGATCCTGTGTGTAGTTAAGTCCCTTCCCTGTCCCACACCCATTGCTATGTGACTATGCAATTCCTCCCATTGAGAAAGAGTCTCCTTCCTAACATCTTGAATCTGGGCTGGTCCTGTGGCTTATTTTGGTTAATAGAATGTAGCAGACCTAACTTTGTGACAGTGCTGAGCCTGGGCCTCAAGAAGCTTGGTAACTTCTGCTCCTACTTTGGAATCCTTCCTTTCTGATGGAAATAAGCTTGTGCTAGCCTACTGGAGGGTGAGATTATGGCCCATTCATCTTAGTTAAAGTCATTCTGGACCAGCCGCTAGCCAGTTGACCCCAAAACATATAACAGTGTTTTTCCAAGATCAGCAGGGTCACTTATCTGACCACAATTGGCCATTGGTGCATGAGGGAACCCATCTGAGATCAGAAGAATTGCTCAACTTATCCATAGACTTAGTTGCAATAATACAGTTGTTTGAAGTCATTGAGTCTGTGGTGATTTGTTACTCAGCAATAGCAAACTGATACACTGGTTATAGAGCCTAGTCAGTGATTTGTGTGGGTGAATCCCTACATCTCCCTGCCTTCAGCTGGAAGAATACTGTAAGAGAGAGTCTAATTCTGATTCCAGTAGCTCAGGACAAAAAGAACAACAAGGCTTCACCTGTACATGGGTGGCTCCAGACCTTATCCTTCCTGCAATAGCACAGAAGGGCTCCTCAGAGTAACAGGAGTCTGTCAGGTAGAGGAAAGGAAGGTGGGTGTTCCTGGCAGAGGACATAGCAAAGGTACAAGACATACAGGGTGGTGTGAAGATAAGAGAGAATTCATGAAAATTGTTAGAACCTTGTCTGGCACAAAACAATAACTTTACAAATGGCACTAGTACTGCTGGGCAGAAGAGGCAGAGGCAAGGCTGCCAGGTTGTGAAGGACTAATGAACTTGTTCTTTATCTGCAGAGCAATGGGGAGCCACATCTGGTTGTAGTCAGGAAGTGGATTGGGCTATCCAGAGCTTGAAAGGCTGTTTTGAGGGGGTGTGAGTGTATCCAGGGAGGCCTGGGAGGAGGTGGTGGCATTCTTCTAGGTGAGAGACAATGGTGGCCAGTTAGTGAGGAAGATGGGTGGACTATGCAATGCCTTGGGAAAAAGTGCCAGGTCTTGGTGGCCTGTTGGATACATTCAGTAAGGTGGGAAAAAGTTGTCAATGACAATCTGTGTCAGACTTGGATGCCCTGTGTGACCCACTGTCATTTCTTTCTTTTTTAAGCTTCTGTTAGAGGTTACATTTGGATCAGGACCATAGGCTGATGTGAGACAACCAGACTGTAGCCTGTTTCCCACTTCCTCAGGTTGAGGTCTTGAAGAAAGCACTTCCTTCCCTGAGGCTGGTCCTTATTTATAAGTAGGAATAGAGCTTTCCTAGGGTCTCAGGAAACACATCACAAACTTGCTTTGAAGATTGCAAGGTATAGCTCTATCTTGGGTAGAGAAACAGGTCAACTCAGGATTCTCCTGACCTGGGTCTTGCTAAGGAGTTTCCTTGATTGAAGAGGTGTGGGTTAGAGAATGGGAGATTTGGGGATTCCACTGGCTGACTGCCAGGCACCCCCTAGAGAGTAGTTGAGAGCACAGGCCTGTCACCCTGTGGAGCCTTGAGTTAGTTCAAAACTTAAGTCCAGAAGGACACGAGTGCATTTGCACACACACCTGAGAACACATACAGGGTGGTGCAAAAGTAGGTTTTCAGTTGTTCATATGAAAAATAATATAATGATTAATAAATAATAATCAAGAATAAACTCTGTACTTTGTGTATTCATAACTATAAACCTACTTTTGCCCTCTCCCCCTGTGGTAGACTGAACAAGTAGGAATTTCATCCCTCCCACGTGATTATGTTGCCTCAGTGATGCACACTGTTGGCCTTTCTGAGAGGCACAAGTCCTGTTTTTGTCTTCCCTCTCCTGGGATTGCTATGTAGTCTTGCATAAAGCCCTGTCCCTCTCTGGGCCTCAGTTTCTCCATCACTAAAACAAGAGATTTGGTCCAAGTCAGAGGCTGCACACTGGTGGCACAAAGGCAAATTCAGCTTGCAGTCTTGTTTTGCTCCATATCAAAAAAGTAGATTTGCCACAACAGGTGTTTCAATTGGTTGAGACATCATTATGTACACCAAAAAGTTGTGGGTTCAATTCCTGGTGAGGACACATACATAGATTGCAGGTTTGATCCCTGGTTGGAATGCATACTGGAGACAACCAATCGATGTTTCTGTCTTGCATCAAAGTTTCTCTGTCTCTCTCTCTCCCTCTCCACCCCCACTCTAAAAACCAATAAAAACATATCCTCAGGTGAGGATTAAAGAAAAGTCAGAGGGTCTAGCTATGAGAAGGCCCACATCTTCATGCAGCTCCAATGGGCTTGCATTGAGCAGCTCACTTCGACCAATTGTTATCCACCTGGACCCTGAGCTTTCCACACTATAGTCCTGGACTTTCTGCTGTTGTTTTTTGTTTCAGTCTCTTAAGATTTTTGTCTTTTTAATGGCAGTTTTATTGAAAAACCACTTTAGGAATAAAACAAACAAAGGGGGAAATCTTTGCCTAACACAGCGCAAAATATGTATTTTTATAAGCTATGTTTTAAAAATATTATCATTATGGAGAAAACAGTAATAATAGCAACAATAACAATAATAATAATACTTAGCATCCATCCATTGCTTTGAAACTCAAAGTGCCACACAATCATTATTGGCAGGACCCTCACAACAGCCCTGTGAGGTAGGTATTTTTATTCCACTTTTACGATGGAGAAACTAAGGCCCAGAGCACAACTTAGCTGGGCACCTTCGGATGGAGGGCAGGTCCCTACATTTGAAACTAACAGTGTACTAAGGAGCCAAGTGATAGGCTGGCAGCTGACCTGGCCATTATTCTCACAAGCCCAGCTGCCCCCTGCCAGACCCACTCCTCATCTGAATAGTAAAACAAGACATGGGGCTTCTGAAACCATGTTTATGTGATTACATTAAACTGGCCTCTGGGAGGTGATCAGAATTTCCTTCACTCTCAGATGCCATGAGGCCAGTTGGGAGCAGAGGGGCTGAAGGCTTAAGAAGCCTCTTTGCTCACGGTGGACACTGCAGGTTTCTGAGGCAAAGATAAACTGTGACATGAAGACTTCAAGAAACTTCTGCGTTTTCTCCTCCCTCACCCATTAATCACCCTGCCCCCTGCACTTGCCCACTTGCCCACTCACCCATTCATTCACTCATCCAGCCATGCACTCATTCCTTCAAGCCTACCCATCCTGATACCCAAGTAAAGAAGAAAAAAAAATGGTCCAAGGGAAGAAATCAACCAACTGTCCAGCCATTTTATTTGTCTATGCTGTGATCCAGGCCCAGTGCTGACACTGGAGTGTCCAATACAGCCTAGATATGGAGAGGCTCCTAGTGCATGGGGCCATGGGACTGTGATCTTAGGAGTACCTGTGGGCATGGAGTTCAGAAATGCCTTCTCGTGGTGGCTCAACACAATCACCAAAGGTCCCTATAGTTTGACTCAACACCATCTGCCCTGCACTGCAAGCAGAGATACACAGGCACACACCCATGTGCATACACCACTCCAAATCTTTCAGGCACACACATGGAGAGAAACAGATAATTGGGTACACACAGAAGCACACAAGAGATACCTGAAAGCACAAAGTCACATAACTACCCCAAGACTCCCTAAAGCTGCACATGCGTGCACACACACACACACACACACACACACACACACACACGGATACAGAACACCCATAGCCTTCTTAAGGAAAGCTTCCAAAGTAGAGAGGCACTGGAAGAAGGAGGACGACCCAGGGCAGAGAGGTTTCATCCATACCTTTCTCTGACAGTCTGCCCTGGGGCTGTGACATCCAGGAAACCCAGCTGCTCATGGGAGCTCTCACCCCAGCTTTTTTGCCTTATAACTGAGGACTATGACTTACTCCTACCCGTCCAGGGCACTCAGCAATTCAGGGGTATTCTGGTGAGGAGTAGGTTCCCTGAGCTGGCTTCTGCCAAGTGGCCATGACCAAGTCCCTGTGATCGTCCCAATGCACAGATCTGCCCACCAAATGGCTAGTCATGAGGTCACCGCTCAGTGACCTTGCTCTTAAAGCCTGAGCTTAATAGGCTGAGACTGAAGATCTAATTCCTTTCCCAGGTAATACCAATGGCACAACAGCCCAGGCATCCATGGCCACTTTTGCCAATTTGATCACAGAACTTGAAAACCCAGCTGTGTGAGGGTCCTCGTGGGAGCTGACTCCACACCCGGGCCTTGTCTTTCCTTACCACAAAGCAAGTCCTGGAATTAAGAAGCCCAGGCCACAGAATGATGCAGCCAGATGCAAAATAAATAAAATATTCATATAAAAATAGTCTCTTACAAAACATTCTCTCCTATCCAGTGGCTCACTTTCCAAAAGATGTAAATTGCTTTTATTATCTTTCCCTTTTCTATGTATTCCAAATCAAATTTTTTCTAATGGTGAAGTATGAGTCAGGTAGGACTAAAGAATGGGAAACGTATTGTGAAAAACATCTCCAAACTTGGACCAGCTTTTATATATATATGACATCTGCTCTGTACTTAAACATCTAATGCAGTGGATACTTGCAGAATCAGCTAGTAGAAATATCTTAATAAAGAATAATTATGTACAGTTCTGGTTGGCTCCTTGTTCCAGTGACAAAATTTTCCTGCAAAGAAAGCAGCCAGTCCACTTTGCAGAAAACGGATCTCAATGAGGTGGACTGATTCTTTTTAATTAAATAAATTAATATTATTTTAAAAATCAAAATTGTTAAATATTGCTTGATGAGGCCCAAGGATCCAGGGTTCCTGCTGTCGTAGGCTCTGCTGCAGTGAGGAGGCCCAGGCAGTGTCTGGGGTAGGGTGGAGCAGGCTGAGTATGTACTAGAATCCTTAGGGCTCTGGAGAGCCCTTTCCCCAAAGTGTCAGCAGGAAACTGCACAGGAGCCTCTACAGCAGGAAAGACAAGCTCAGCATTCCTGCTGTTCCCTATGATGATCTGGGAAGTGACCTGCAGGGTGAGTGCAGCTGGACTCTGGTCCTCCCCACAGTGGACCTGACTTGAGGGCGCATGCAGTGCTGTCTTAGGCTCACTTGCACGTGTACACCTCGGTGTGCTCACTGCAGGTGTTGCACTTGACATAGCAGCACCAGTGGAATTTGCAGTTACACTGCCACACCCGTGCATACTGGTGGGTGTTGTAGCCACGGCCGCAGCACATGAGGTCACAGCCACTGGTCTGGCGGGCTGTTTTGTTGCAGATGCGACCTTGCGTGCCCACGCTGCCCGTCACTGGGTCCTCCTCACAGTAGTTGGGTGACTTCTCAATATACACCAGGTCCGTGTCCATGGGTTTGCGGTATGACAGTGGCTTCTTGATCTTCAGGAAGGTGGGCCGCTTGTTGCGGCTGGCACGCACAGGCTCCACATGTACAGCCTCGTTGTACTTATCCTTGAGCACATAGCCGAGCTCTCGGAACTGTGGCAGCGTGGTCCAGCAGGTCTTGGTGGTACAGGAACCTGACACGCCGTGGCACTTACACTCCAGCTTCATGTTCTCCTCCAGGATCTGCAGGAGTGGGAGGGGGAGAGCACAATGAAGGTCATTGTTTGCAGGATGCAGCCCAGCCTGTCCCACCCCCTGCCCCACTAGCTGGGTTTGTTTTTGGTTTTTGTGTTTTTTTTGTTTCTCCTTTTGGTGCAGGAAACTCAGCCCTGGATTCAAATTCCTCTCATCTCGAGCCCTCATGCTGTGCCTTCCACCTGGAATAAACTTGCCTTCCTTGTTTCCCAACTCCTGTGCAATCTGTAGATGCACTTAGATCAGTTCAGACCAGTCCAGAGCACACATAGGTTCTCTTTGGCCTGCCCAGGTTTAAAACAGTGTCTGAACCAACATTTATAAACCAGAAGTATTTAAAAGGCAGACTCCCACATGCATTTGTTTTTGGCAAACAAAAAGTGCATCTGGCAACTCTGGGGTGATAGTCAAATTATTTAATAAGTGGTGTTATCTTCCTGGCACAGAATCTGGTAAGAAATGCCAGCTGTAGTCCCGTTGGGTCCTGACTCACCACAACCTCTGCCAGCCTTATCATATGGCAATAGTACTTATCCTTCAATTTGCCATAGTTCTCACTACTCCCCATTACTTACCTGACCTTAAGTTATGGTTTTTAATAGGTTAACTGCTTTGATCACCTATGACACCTGCCAGGCACTATGGACATATAGATCTGGAAACCCATTGCTCTGATTGAAGCTTCTTGGCATCTATCCCTGGCTCCCAGGCTGGATGCTGTCGCCCTTCTTATGAATTCCCAAGGCCCCTTGGGCTTCCACCATCATCCATGAGAGGCAGTACTGTATGGAGTGGGAGTTGGGGAGGAGCACAGATTCTGGACCTTGGGACTTAAGTCCCAGAACTAACATGAACCTGCTGTGTGTCCTTGAGAAACTTTCTTTAAATCTCTGTGCTGCAGTTTCCCCATTTGTAGATGGGGATAATAATAAATAGTAATTAATTATAATTATGCAGTGAAATACTAGATAATAGTGAAAAAGAATGAACTATTAATGCAATAAGAACAGATCTCCTAGATGTAATGTTGTGTGAAAAAGTTGGGCACTAAAAAGAACATAATATGGGATTCTATTGCTGTGAAGTTCAAGGACAGGAAAACTAATGGCTGGTTTTCATTTCATCTTTATTTAACTATATAGGCAGTGGGTCAGAGGTGGCCCATGGGCCATATTTTGCTGACCCCAGTTTTAGAATATCTTAGCAGTAAGAGGAGACGTCATTTACCAATCCCCTATAGCACAGGGTATTTAGGTTGTTTTTGGTTATTATTTTTACTTTTGCTTTCCTTCCCTCCCTCCCTTCTTTCTTTCTTTCCTTCATTGTTTATTTTTAACTATATGTAATGTGGAAGCAAGTATATTTTGAACTGAAGCTTCTCTTCCTTCCTCATTATCTTTGGCCTGATGTCATCCTAATAGGCATTTATTAAGCTTCTACTGTATAGTAGGCAGAGGGATGGGGATGTATTCATGAGCATAGTTTCTGGGTCATAGTGTGTAAGCATTTTCATGGTTCTTCATCCAGATTGTCAAAATACTTTTGCTTGTTACATAGTGAAAGAATAAGTGAATGAGTAAATTAACATTTATTAATCACCCATACACATGCTTCTATATATAGCATCTTATTTCACTTCATCATGTTAGTATGATTCCATCTGTAGGGATAAACAGGCTCAGCTGACTCCTAGAGCAGGCATACTGGTGTGTGAGGCATTCAGATGCAGGGTCTTATTGCTGAGGGGTGTGAATGCTTTTCCCTCCCCCAACCCTCGTTACTTACTTACTATGTGCTTTTGGGGTTGTCACACCCCATCTCTGAGGCTCAGTTGCCTTTACTGAAACATGGAGCAAGGCCAATTTTATTTTTTCTAACAAAAGTCAGGGTGCTAGAACAAAATCAGACATTCAAAAAGTAGTTATTAATTTTGCCTCTGGGCCTGGGCCTATGCAGGTGCTGGGGACACAGAGGTTTGTCACCTAGAATGGGCCGGTATTCAGGGTCCACCCAGCTCTAATTGTTCTGCTTCCAGGAAGAGGTGACTAATGCTTGGTCAATATACTCAATAGGAAGGGAGGATTACCTGTGTTTTGACCACAATACAAGTCAGCGATGTTGCAAGCATCCAGAATGTTCAGGGATAGAGATCCAGGCTGACTGAGTCTCTGGTATCAGGACACCTTTTGACAGAGCACATACTATGTGCCAGCACCCTCACACAACCTTCAGACACTTAGAGCTGCTACAGATGAGTAGCCACTGTGTCATCAGTGATAAGAGAGTTCCCACAGGCCAGCTCACCTTGGCCTGAAAAGTGGGAAATAGCAAGGCTCAGAGGTGTGATGCATGTGGATGCAGGGTCAGGCAGGTAGGTGTTCCTGAGACATGACGGCCAAGATGACTGAGATTTTAGTGCAGTCAGAGACTTGAACAGAAAAATGCTGGAAGATATTCAGAATGAATTCTGATATTACTGAGTGTGGGTGAAGCTCACACCAACTGCTGGTGGGAGTGCAAACACAGCAGCCTGAGAAAGCTGAAGAGTGCAAGCAGCAGAGCCTGGGGAAATCTGCTCATGTGGACAGGAAGAGGCTCCAGGATGCTCAGAGCAGCAGTGTTTATAATTCCAAATGGGGCACCATCTGGATGTCCATCCGTCATAATAGGAAGAATGAACTGAGGCATGTGTACTCAACAGGGCACAGAAGGGCAATGACAGTGAACAACTACAACCAAGCACACAAACAGAGGCCAACCTCAGAAACACAGTGGGGATAGAAAGAAACAATTGAAAGATTTCCACAGAATTGTTTTATCTTTATCAGTTTAAAAGCTGGCAAAACTGCTCAGTTGTTATGGCTCAGTGGTTGAACATCAATCTATGAACCAGGAGGTCATGGTTTGATTCCTAGTCAGGGCACATGCCCGGGTTGCTGGCTTGGTCTCCGGTCAGGGGCATGCAGGAGGCAGCAGATTAATGATTTTTCTCTCATTACTGATGTTTCTATATATATCTCTCTTCTTTCCTCTTTGAAATCAATATTGTATTTTTCAGAGCACACAGAGAGGGGACGCATGGAAAGTAAAGAGATGAGGGACACAAATACCAAGAGTGCTTGTCTCTGGAGTGAGAGGCAAGGGGCTATGGTTGATGAGGGTCACCCAGATATCATCTGGGGTTCTGGTAATGTTCTGTTCCTAGATATGAGTGCTTTATCATTATTCTTTTAAATAAACATAGATGATCTCTGTGCTTTTTTTTTTTTTTTTGCGTGTAAACTATATCTTGCAATTTATAAAAAATTGATTGGGTACAATAGCCAATAAGTATGTGGAAAGATGCTCAGCATCACTAATCATCAAGGAAATGCAAATCAAAACCACAATGTCCATCAACTAATGAGTACAATGTGGTCTATCCATAAATGGAATGTTATTTAGCCACAAAAAGAATGAAGTACTGACACATGCTACTATATGGATGGACCTTGAAAACACTAAGTTAAGTGTTAGAAGCCAGTCAGAAAAGGTCACATGTTATATGATTGCATTTGTATGGTATGTCCAGAATAGGCAGGTCTATAAAGTCAGATGGTGGATTAATGGACGAAGAGCAGTTTGGCGAAATGAAGAGTAATTGCTAAGGGATACAGGTTGTGAGGTCATGAAAATATTCTGAAATTGACTATTGTGATGGTTGCACAGACCTGAGAATAACTTTTTAACTGCATTCCTTAAATGAGTGCACTGTATATTATGTAAATTATAATGCAATAAAGTTGTGTGGGTTTTTTTTAAAAAGTTGCCAGAAGCATGGGCTGTATTTGCCTATGTATGACACCAAATGTTTTCGTTGAGGTGGACCCTGAGCATTGAGGCCCAGTGCCAGAGGCCAGGTTCCTGGGTCCTCGGGCTGGGTACAGTTGCCCCCCACACCATCTGCACCAGCTCCCTTGCACAGCCCCCTGCACACTACCTCCCTCTTTCTCTGTGGCTGCCTCAGGCTGTGATGGTATTTGTGTGGCCCCTAATCAGATGACACCAGCTCATTAACCCTGCAAACTCTGCATTTTGAGAGCCTCAGTGATCGCATTATGTCCAAATAGAGCTGGGCATAACAACAGCTTTCCTGGCCAGGACTGGTCAGCCAGTTGGAAATTATAGACAGGCAGCAAGCCCTCTTCCTAAGGCAAGGGACAACAGCAGAGGAAGTGTGTCAGGGACAAATATCACGCTTTGCGCACTCTTTTCCCACCCTGAGTCCAGTTTGGCTACCAGCTTTTGAGCTGTCCAGGGGGACTTCTGGGTATTCCTTTGTGCTTGAAGGATCAGGCAGTTGAAGGATCTGCACCCACACACCTTCCCAGTTCCTGGCACATAGTGGGTTCTCTTAGGAAATTCCCAAAGGTTAATTCACTAACAGGGGGCATTCCAGTTCTTCCATAACTGCATTTCTAGTCCAACAACCATGAGAGCACCAAACCTACATTTCTGAATGGGGGAAGTCGGGAGGACCCAGGGGAGGAGCCATAGTAGAGGAGAGGGGGCTTGGAATCGTTGGTATGAATCATTGTCAATATTTTATGTCCCTGGCTACACTGCTAGGTCCCAACTTAAAGACCAGTGATATGAGAGTGCTTAGGGTCTACCATGTCACCACCCTGTGGTGCAGAGATGCCTCAGTGAAAAAGGAAAAGAAATGAGAAAAGAGTGAGTCCCAGATGTGTGGCTCAGCAAGCACTAAGCACACATAGTTCTCCGCCTCTTAGCTATGTGGTGGTTTAGGGTCAGATGACATGATGAGGTGCTGTGCTCCAGTCCCACTTCCAGTTCCAGCCACAGGCCCCACTCATTTTCACATGTCACTAGTGCAGGTCTGGGGACTGATCTTCACAGAAACTGAAGGGACAAACCGAGGAACTACTATGTGCTGGCATCAAGCAAGGATTGGAGACTCAGCAAAGGAAAGAGGGACAAAGCTAAGA